CCTTAAAGCAGTTATTGCTGACACATTTTAGTGCTTGACTGAGTGAACTCTGGCTGGTTTTTAACTGAAGAGGAAGGAAAGTTCTCTAGGAAACAAAACAGAATTTAAATATTTTAAGTGACTACTATGAAAGAGCAATACTTCTGTTCGGGCTCATAATCTGAAAATGTTGGGTGAAAATGGGTATAATTTTTAATTGTCAATATAAGTCATTTATATTTTGTTAATTGAAAATACCTCCAAAAAATTCTAATATCATAGGGAACTCATAAGAATAATTTGCCTGTAAGCTTTACTGTACCCTCGACTTTTCTTGGTGCCATGTTTTTATAAAAAACAAAAATCTGAGCATTCATTTAGCAGAAAGTAAAGGTGCTTTAGTTGGGGAGCAGCAGCCTTGGCTCCTTTTCTCTTCAGGTTGTTCATGGATAAGAATAATTACAGAGAAAGAGAGACCCCAGCCCTAATGACAGACATGATGCTACTGGATTCACCATTTGAATGGATCAGGCAATCTGTTTTTACGTAACCACCTTATGGACAATGTTTTCTCTCACATTATTATTAAAATCATCATCATCATCATCATTATTATTATTTAAGGAAAGCAGAATGAAGTAAAACAAAGTTCTGGAGCAAACCTACCTGGGTTCAAATGTCATCACCATCACTTACTAGCTCTGTGACTAAACTACTTACCTCTCCGAGTCTCAGTTCCCTCAGTCATGAAATGGGCAGTACTGCAATCTCCCTCCATGATAAGAGCTGAGCCTCCCTACTCAGACTTCTATGATGCTCTGAGCTTAGGGCAGCACCTGATGGCTCAGTATTTATTTGTCCCTTGCAATGTGAGAGAGCCTTAGACCCTATTCCACTGGGAATACATAATAGATATTTGTTGTAGTTTGGATCTTGAATGACCCTGAAGGCCCCTGTGTGAAAGGGGCCTCAGTCCTCAGCTTGGCACCATTGGGAGCTGGTGGAACCTATTAAGAGGTGAGGCCTAGTGGAAAGTCTTCTGGTCATTGAGGATGTGCTGTGGAGGGAATAGTGAAACTCCAGCCCCTTCTTCTTTCTCTTGTCACTTCCCAGCCACTCCCCACCATGATGCACTCCCTCACCAGTGGGCCTAAAGTAAAGGGGTCGACCAGTCATGGACTGAGACCTCCAAAACTGAACCAAAACAAACAATTCTCTCAGTTATTTGTTATTCAATAACACCTTGGCTCACAAACAATTCGGTTCACAAACAATTCAGTTCTCAAATGAAACTGTTTCATAGAATTTTGCTTCCATTCACAAACTCCACATCAAGTGACAAACACAAATGCAGCCATCTTCCCCAAAATGGTAAAACAAATTAAGTCCATTAACCAAAGTACCACTATAGTAATGGAAGGCTCACAATATTTAATAAATTGTGAATTAAATACCAAGTACAGTTATTTTGAAAAGTAAAGTAGATGAAAACAATTTTATTTTCAGAAATAAAAGCACAAATAAAAATTAAAACTGGGACAAAAGCACTAAAGCAGTATTTTAAAGAGTCATGTTGGAAGGAAGTAGGGAGAAGTTCTAAAAATTCCTCAAATTATATATTCTGTGGTTTCAAAAATATTTCAATATATATGCTAATTTGTTTCATTTATAATGCTAGGTCCTCTTAGTTCATTGAAAAAGTTTTGTGCTATTATCTATTTGTTTCTTTTTTGTAAGAATCTTTTCTGTGATTTGTACTCTAACATTTTGGCCATTCTTTTAAGATTATGGTACACAGTGTATTAACTGCTATTCTTTAATTTGTTGTGAAATCTTGCTTTATTTTTTCATAGAAGACTGTGTTAAAAATATTTTCTTTATTAATATCTACTTATATTACATTGAAATAAAAATTTTTTAAAAAGCTGGAAGTAAAAAAATGAATTATGTTGGGAAATATTTGGTAAGTGCTGTGATAGTAATAATGATATTCTAAAAATTCCGTTCAGCTTTGTTAAAAAGCTTTTTGAAATACAAACACTATTTCCATTGAATTAAAAAGATACTGTGTAGGCTTGTTGAATTGGCCAATGGCAATTCCTGGGGAAAAGCATAAAGGACAATATGAAAGCTTAGGAAAGAACTACCTAAAAATATATTGTTCTTTGACTTTAGTTCCTAATTTTGAATTTTTAAAATACCTTAGATTTCAGAACAAAAATTATTCAGGATTTTTTTTATGTGCTTTGAATGACAGCAAACTAATTTATCATATATTGTAGATTTTATTTTCCCTTAGACATTAAAAATGTAATCTGTTCCTTCAAATGTTTTACTTAGTAAAGTGGGAAAAGAAGTAGGCTATTTAAGATTTCATGATGAGATACTGAAAAACTGTCCTCCAGCCTAAAAAAATAAGACCCATTGCTTAATAGTTACTGTGCACCCAAGTAACCTTTTATTCTTAGGTCTCTTATGCATGCAGGTGTGTGCGTGTGTGTGTGTGCACGCACGTGTGTGTCTGTGTGCATGTGTGTCTGTGTGTGTGTGAAGGGGTACCCATTCAAACAGAATCTAAAGCCAATGTGGATCCTGTTTCTTTACAGAACTAGTATTCTGGCTGATAAACTGTTTTGTCCTACGGAGACTTTTCTTTAAGTCAATAATTCAGACTCAAACTGTATAATGGTAACTATATTTTAAACCAAAAAATTCCTCACATAATAAATACATTTTATGCACATTAACTTCAAATTTACTTCAGAAAGCTATTTACAATATAAATAATTATAAATGGAAACACTTTGCAAGATATCATTGACATAGCTAATATTTTCTACTTTACATTCCAAAGTAAAAGTTCCAATTACAGCTTTATTCTACAATATCACTAAAAACTATACATTGCAAGATGGTATTTGGAATATTGACAATCAGTATCTTCTCTCACAAATATAATCCTTTTATAGCATTTCAGTCAAAAAGCAAACATAAAATATTTTCTCTTTTTTGAAGTGCCTACTCATATGTTTAATTTTTGAAATATTTGCCTTTGGAAAAAATGAAAAAAAGCTACAGTACTTTTTCTGGGCCAATTTCATTTCTTCTGAAATGACATGAGGACTGTTAGGTGTAAATTTAACTATGATTAAATGTGTCCCATATCAACAAACTGTTCCCATCTAGGTTTACAAAAGCAAAGTCCCATGCAGCAAACAAATAAAACTACAAATGTTTGGTTTAAAATTATCAATTAGGATTTCTTGTGTGAACAATCTACATATATAATTGGATATGGCACAGTTTTTAAATCCCTAAAATGATACAAAAACCATAACGTGTGTGTGTATCCTTTCTGCGAACAATTTTACAGAAAGAACTCTGAACAAACACCTATTTGGAAATGAGTACAATCTCACCTTTAAGCACTACCCGTACAATCTGTGTGCACAATAAATGAGCACCACACAAAAATTTTCCTCAAGAACATTTTCTATGTATATCTTTTGCATGTGTCCATAGATGTTCTGTAATTCATTTAAAATTTAGAATGATGTTTTATCCACAACTTATTTCACAGTAAAAACTAGCCAATAGGCTTTTTTTTTGCTTAGACTTACAACCCTATTCACAAAAATGACATTTACATGAAAGTTGAATCACTTATTTGGAGAGATGTAGGATTTACATTCTTTATTAAATCATTCTGAACATAAGATGTATGTCTGTATCTACTATTTGAGTGAATTAGGGAACCAAATCTGGGCATCCAAACTTTTAAAATCAGGATTATATTAAAGTGTAAACTATTCTATCAGACAAGGTGACTGACTCTCAAATGGATACTGTTTTCTAAATATCAGCATTCACTGTCACTCCCAAGTACTACTAGTACTAACAGATTGCACTGAATTTCTTCATAATGCCCTCCTCTTGAAAAAAAGAGCTGTAAAATATCAAATCTGCATTCAGAGTGTCTCATAAGCTGCATTATCTTCTATCAAACTCTTTTGGTCTAGGTCTTGGGGGGGTGTCTTTCATTTTATTTTAAAATATCTATGCATATTTTCCAAATGATTTTGTATTAGAATTGATCCTTGTCTTCCATTTTAAGAGAGAAAGAAAAATGGAACCTATCCTTTTCTACAAGATCCCATTAAAATTTATTGTAAGGGGATTCTCTGCCCAGAGGCAGCATGTAGCAGCAGGGTGTAGAGAGAATTAAGAACAGTACCCATTGGAAATATCTTGGCCCTGTAAAAATCTAATGAGTAAATAATAAGTGGTTTTTCTGTATAAACAGTGAGGCTAAGTCATTTATTGCATCCTGTCTCATTTTGAATGTCACATCAGCGCTGTCATATTCTCTTGTATCAGGCAATTACAGTTTAGCACATTAGATTCAGCATAATATGCCAAAAGACTTTGGGGGCTGAAGCACACCTAAATGCCTAACTTGTAGTGACTATGATCTTAGTATGATGCCTCCAAAAATACCTCATCAAATCTATATATTCTCAGTAATGGTTTTAACAGAATTTTCCCAAGGAATATTGGGAAATATTCATTCATTTCATCATCCAAATTTTTAAATTGGGTAAAACAGGCAAAATGAGCAACAAATATATTTTTACTATTACTAAAAAGCATGAGCTTGGTGGCATCTAGTGAAATGGTACATTTTGTAGCAGTATAATTGGATATAGATTCACATTTTTATGAATGCCCAAAGTGATATAAAAAAACACACTCTATTTCATTCAAGTGTCATGGTTTTTAGTATTTTAGTAGTTATAGAAATCAAGGATAGGGGCCAGGGATTTAGCTCAGTGGTTTCGCTGCCTGCCCTGCAAGCTCAAGGACCCAAGTTCGATCCTCGGTACCCAAAAAAAAAAAAAAAAAAAGAAAGAAAGGCTAAAAATAAACCCAATATAGCCAGGCATGGTGGCACATGCACTCAAGTGGATCACCACAAGTTCGAGGCCAACCTGGGCTACATAGGGAGTTCTAGGCCAGCCTTAGCTACAAAGTGAGACCTGTCTCAACCCTCCCCCCCAAAAAGCCAATTTAAGTTTAATTTTTAACTGATTAAGTTACTGAGAACATATTTATTTTACATCTTATGTTTTTAAGACACAGATGACATCATCCTCTTGAGGAAATATGCTCCTGTACAGAAAAAATAAATTATAAGTAAATTTTTTACATCTACATGAATAGTAGGAAGTTGCCTTGTCATAAAATGTTGATTTATTTTGGAACATTTTGTAATAATTACAGCATACTACAAAAAATGTAAGCTATCTAACACTGTGAGTCCATAATGGATTGTATGTAATCTAATAAAATTATTGACATTCAGTATATTAAATAAATGGTTATGTATTTTAAACTGGGTCAATCTATCAAAATTTTTAAGCAAGATGTAATTTAAGCCAGGTACAGTGGCACATGCCTATAATCCCGGCTCCTTGGGAGGCCGAGACAGAAGGGTGAGAAATTCAAGCCCTGCCTCCAGAAGAAAGTAAGAACTTGTTTCAAAAAATAAAAAGGGCTGGGGTGTAGCTCAGAGTGAAGACCTTGGGTTCAATCCCCAGAACCAAAAAAAAGTAATTTAGTAATTTAGTTAATTCTCTCTTCCATTTAAAACACTGAAACATTCTTCCTCCTGATTAACACCTATCTTTGGGAGTTCATAATTCATTCCTTCCACTAATTAACTATTTGCCATATAAAAAATGTCACTGAAATTCCTTTAGTGGCTCTATTTATTATGTTTATTTTCGTTGGTTTTCATGTTTCCATTTCTTTTATCATATCTGTAGCAGACATTTGGTTGAATATATCCATCAATACAACCCATCTGTATAGATTTCCTTTCCTAGTTTGTCATATTTGTCAGGTATTTGTGTCTGAAACGTTTATCCATCTATATAATTTTGCAGTATCTTTAGCATTCCTAAAACCTTACTTCATGCTGCAAATTGACCAAAATCCATTTTAAATTTTCCAGGGGTTTCTCACAAATCTTTTTCTCATATAGTTTAAATTTTAGTATTGTACTTTGAACATTTTTGAAAGTATATAACTACTACCTTTCTCACCTACTTGCACCTTTTTGTATTTACACTGACAAATGTTCTATTATACCCAAGAAAGTTATGTAATTACATAGCCTCTTCTCTCATGTACAAACAACCTGGTGTTCACCTCTCAAAGTACTATCATGCAGATTGTCACCAACTTATGGACTGTGATACAGCTGTATTAAATGATGAAATTATGGTATTAATCCCTGAGGGTCCAATGTCACATTCCATTTTCAAAATTATAGGTCAAATTCTTTCAGTACATTCCCTTCCTTAAATATGGAAAGAGTTACAGGAATGGGACTCTTATGAAATATTATCAATAAAATTTCTCTTATCACTCATGTCATTTGGCTTTGATTACTGTAGAATCATGTATTAAATAAATCCTAATATTTTTCTTCCCCCTTAAACATTTTCTATCACCTACATTTTGACTGAATCTAAGAGAAAGTTCAATGTAACTACACCTGCCTAAAAATCCCAAACACCTGCTTAGTGTTACATAGCTGTAACAGCAAGTTTGTTGTTTCATTGTTTACAAACAATACGGAAAACAAACATTTGCCTGTTCCTTCAGCCAGAAGCTCCTACTCCTCTCACCCTTTTAAACACTTGTCTATTTGCCTAAGCTTTCATCTTAGATTCTCTCCCAAGGCTTTCCACATGCTGACACACTGGCACATCTGTGCTTTGAAATATTTTCAAATACTTATACTGCTGTCATGTAGCACTTCACTGGCTTTCCTTAGTCATTTTTGCACTTATCAACCTTTTTTCTTAGGGAATCAGTTTGAATGTTTTATTTCATTGGTTTTATTAGCAAGCCCCAAATATATTGTTTACCTATTCTGAGCCTTAAATTGTTTGTTTTAAGATGTAATTTCACTCCACTCTGCCGCTGGCCTTTCCTTCTTTACTAAACTACTTCCAATTGAGCACATCACGTTTTTGATGTGTCTCCCAACATCTCAATGCTGTTACTTAGAAAAGCCCTTACTGCTATGTCAGTGCAATACTTGTCCTTGTCTAACTCAAAAGTAAGGTGAAAAATCACCACTTCCTGATTGCTTATAATGGATACCAGGTGAAAACTCATTCTTGCATCATAGCCAGAACAAGTTCTCTAATTTACACCTGAACCAAATGAGCTAACTTATTTGAAATCACAAAGAAGTCAGTTTACAAGATGTATCCCTCTCTTCCTTAGTTATGTTGGGAACAGAAATTTATTTAAGAATCTTAATGTGGTAGAGTTAAGGAAAGGTACCCATTTCGGGTATATTTATGGTTTGTTTTCTATTTCTGCATGTAAAGTATACATAAAAGTTTGTGAACAGTGGACTGTGTGTATGGATTTCACTGGATCATAACAATACAATGTCATTCATCAGCCCTTTCATGTGGGGTGTATGTTTGCTTGATTTACATATTTTTCCATTCAAAATATACCTATTCTGGTTCCCCTATAATTAGAGGGGCAACTTATGTGTTTGTGTTAGCTCCCTGTATATAACCCTGAAAGTTAGTGTTATTTTTCCTTTGATTTCACAGGAACTCATTCAAACACCCAGTAATTGTTATCTTAACAATCTGTGACACACTAAATGTTGGTAATGGGGCATTAAACTATAAATATGTTTCAGAGATCCTCGAAGAACAAAGTTTATTTTTTTTAAAAAAAACATCAGCTTCCATTGGTTATTATAACAGATGTTCCCTTATGTCCTTGTGCTGGGTCTGGCTGCATCCTCAGATGGGAAGTTACATCAAAGTGTGAGCCATTACAGCCCAAGGAATAGTTTCTAATGGTTTCACTGTCATATAAGTGCTCGAGGGCATATCCAGTTAATGTGTAAGCATGCTTATCAAAATACTGCCGGTGAGAGCCAAAGCAGTTTGGAGAAACAGCAGCATGGTCTCCTGCTGTTTGATGAGGAGACATATCCGAATGTAGATAATCTTTAGCCAGAATCAAACTGGATTTTGAAATGCGATCAGAATTGGGACTACTTATCCGAGACAGTGCAGTGGGACTATTGTCATAGTCATTGTCATGAGGACTCAGCATCTTTCCCTCTCTCTGCTGGATGTGGTCACATGGTGAAGTGTTGGCCAGAGCAGAGCTGTGGCAGACTTCCCCTGTAGGTGGGGGCTGGGAATAGTTTGCAAAACAGAGGGAGTGTTTTTTCCCTGCTCCATTAATGGAAGCCAGTTGGTCTGGGGGGCCTTTCCTTAACTGCAATCTGTTTTCTTCTTCTTTAATCATTTGCTGGGTAGCTCTTATCAGAGTTTCAATTTTGCTAGGTTCATGTGGGCTACTCTGATACTGTTCAGTGCGATATCGGTCACCTGATTCACTGGCCGACCCTGGGTCTGGAGAGCTGACCACACTATCTTCATCCCAATGACTTCTCCCTAGAAATCAGAAAAAGCACAAAGTAAGTGGTCTCAAAATTCGCAAAAATAGAAAGTGTATTTTTTCCTACTAAAAGAAACCTTATTTATTTTGTTTTTAATATATGTACCAATATTTGAAACAGACATGGGTCTACATGATGATGTCAATTTATTGTACTGGAATTCTTATTTAAATCAGTAAATTTTAACGGCAGGTAAATTTTACAACTATCTTAGAAGATAAACCTTGCTCGTTGGTTCTGTATGTCAATTAGGGAAATAGTAAATTGTGGCTATACATACTTCCCCATTTATGTAGCTTATAAGACCTGCCCAGGTGCAAATAATAAGAAAATACACAGAACATGATTTATGCTACTTTCTAGAGCAATGTCATATTAGACTGATGCTTAGAAAACACTTTAAGTTTCAGGAAAGCAATTACCCAGACTGAATTATTTCTCTCTATTCTAAATAAATCATTGAAAATGTTAATATTGCTCAATGTATCTTAAATAGGGTTATAATAACGGTATAATGTTTGTCGTTTTAGACAAGTGATAGTTAAAAATATATTTATATATTTATATATATGTGTATATGCACATGTGTATATACATATATGGTGTATGTATGTACATGTGAATAGACAGAGACGTGGATATATCTTGTCCTAATTAAAAATATAACTAAAATGTTATCAAATGTAATGGTATCTCAGCTTCATAATCATATAGAAACTCAGGTATCTTAGATTGCTTCTGAAATAAGGTAAAGAATAAATAAATATTAATAATTTTAATAACAATCTGCTCTGAACCAAGGAAAGAGAGCACAGAAGAATGGTGCATCCAAAATGTATTTCATAAGCCAAATTATTCTGAAAACAGTCTGAAGCTGATAAAAGAAAAATAGGTAAGGACATACGAAAACTGTAAACTGCTTAATGCAGCAGAGAAGCCTTGGATCACACTATTCATTGTGTTCCTTTTCTTTTTTCTTCTTATTTTATTTCTAATATTTTCTTCCAGACCAGGAAGGTTAAGCCTGGATTTTCACTTCACTCCTTTTTGGCAAGCAATTGCCCTTTGCCCTGGGCTTTCATTACCAGACTACTGAAATGCTCCTGGGTTCAAAACAGGTGATTTACTCAAAGAGAAAGCAGAAAAATAAAAAGCAAGAATGGAAACAAAATTACTCATAGAAGGGTAAGGAATAAATATGAGAAAAGGAAAAAATGGAAAAATAAATAAAATTACTCATAGAAGGCCATCGATGTCTAGGTGGCATCCAACAGGTGGCTTTAGGAATGGGGACAACATTGTCTAAAGCACATTTCAGATCCTAAAGGCAAGAAGAGTAATACCAGGGCCTTCAGATCAATCCTGTCACTGAGTTTTAATGGAATAGGGAGGTTTTCAAAGACCCGTCCACCTCCCTACTCAGTGTACTTTGAAATGAACAAAGAAAAGGATTTGTAATAATCACAGCTTTAACTACAGTGCCCAGTTCCTTGTGTTCATTGAGGTATGTGATAATACCAAGACAGAAATCTCAGTGATTTCCACATATCACTCCATTTTTACCTACGGGGGCATTGCAGTTGTCTAGTTTTAGAAGAAGGGTGCACTTAATTCTCAGATAGGCTAAAATCTACCCTATGAGTGATAGACCACAAAACAAAGACTGGCCCGCTCCAAAATTTCTGTTATGCCCTTATTGCGAAGCACCCCTGTAGCCTGTAAGTTGTTCAAGTCCTCCTTTGAAGCAGGGGTATACAGAAGAAAATAATATAGGAGAGATTTAAATACATGCACGCTACAAATTTAGCACAAAATAATTCACTTTTACTTAATTTCTATTCTTTATAATTTTTTCTCATCTGTCATAAATATATATTCAGCAAACACTGTCAGAATGAATACACTTAAACGGACTAAACTTGACCTTTGTTTTTTTGAACTAGCAATTCTGCTGTTGTTTTCTTCTTTTTGTTGGGGCCAGGTGGATTTTTAAGTCGAAGGAGAGCACCCCTTGGGTCAGTCCCTCCAGGACCGACACGTCACAAACCCGCCCAGGACGCAGGCTGGCTCCGAAGCCCTTACCGTGGGTCCTGTGCACCGAGGCGATGTGTGGCATGCTGTTCTCGTAGGCTTCCCTGCTCTCCGGGGAGGCCTTGGTCAGCGGCAAGGCTGCGCGAGAGCCCCACCAGGGCTCCCTCCCGGCCTGCGGCGCTCCCAGGAAGTACCTGCCCGCCTCGCAGCGGCCTCCCTCACAGGCCTGGCTGTGGAAGTGCCGGTCCTCCACCAGCCGGGAGTGGTCGAGCGCGAAGCCGTAACAGAGCGAGCTGCGGTCCGAGAACTGCCTGTAGGCGCAGGACGCATCGTGCTGCAAGCCTGGGCGCTCGGCTGGGTCCAGGAGCTGCGGAGAGGCCGTGTCGGTCAGGGGACTTCCGCCCCACTGGCTGTCATGATCTGATTCCGATCTTTCCGTGTGAAATCCCGAATACTGAAACCCAGAGGGGGGAAAGGCCATTTCACAAATAAATAAATTAGTTAAACAAATAAAAAACAGCCTTTACTCTGCAAGCACCCTTTAATTAAGCTCATGCTGGCCAAATCAGGACTCACTCTAGCACTCTTGGGCACCTCTAACTTGGAAGCACTTAATTATATCAAATGATGCCTCCACAGAAAACCCTTTGGGCTGTCAAGGGAAGAAATAAAATAACAAACATTAACTGAAGTCCTAGGCACAGAATGAAGTATTGCTTGTAAATTATGCCAAGTAGTTCTTCCAAAACCTTGAATGGTGATTTTAGTGCCCTCATCTTATGGACAGTAAAGCTAAGGGTCAAAGAAGGAAAGTAATTTACCCAAGGCCACAGGATTAGCAGGTGTGGGAGGGAAAAGGAAAGTAAAAAAAATTAAAATGAGTTACTTAGGGCAGGGGATTTAGCCCAGTGGTTTCGCTGCCTGATGCGCAAGTGCAAGGACCTGAGTTCAATCCCTGGTACCAAAAAAAAAAAAAAAAAATGAGTTACGTACATGTACCATTATGTCTTCATTATGTACTGCAAATATATATATAGTAATAAAAATTTTTTAAATTAAACAAAAAATATTCAAACCCAATTTCTCCACTACCTGAATTGTATTCCCAAAAAGAGGATTCCAAGAAGGCTTCATATTTTATTTGGGTTTGTTGTCCACGTTTCTTCTTAATTAGAAAAACAAAGGAGAAATTAAGGTTTAAGGCATCAACGTGCAGAACTCTAATCCTATACTAGACTGTTAACTCTGAATGCCATGCCAGTACATAGTAGAATAGTTAATTTTTACCTAATTGAATTGCAATAAAACTTTCAAAAGTCTTGTCCCATATAAGCTGGATCTATTCATTTGAATATTACTTTCTAAACTAAAACTTCAATTACTCATAGGATCATGGCAGTGGGTGGAGGAAACAAGCCACAGGAACCACTGTCACTGATGGAATCACACTGCTTACCTGCTCCCAAACTATTTCGTCAGGTGATGAAAGAAAATGTGTAAAATGCTCTGCAGGCTACCCTAGAAACTGTGCTCAGTTTGAAGGTCCCCATAAACCACTAAAATTCATAATGTAATAATGTCTACCAATTTTTGATTCCCAACTGGCAAACACAATTCTAAGAACTACAGAGATTACCTGCTATGATAATAAAATATGTCATTTATTGAGAATTTATTGTGTACCTAATTATTCCATATATATTATATCACTTATTATAATCACTCTACTATGCTGTTAAATAACTCTAATAGATACAGAAACTACATCATGAAGAGTTTTAGTAAGATGCCACCATCACCTCATCTGGTCTTAAAGCTGGCACTCTAAATAATAGTTATAAATTTGAAATTAAAGTACTGTTAAAGAAAAAGAATGGAGAGAAAAGGATTCAATGTTATAGAGATACACAGATGAGAGGCAGAAACTTCTTAGAACTCCCTAGAACTTCCTAGAACCAAAATATAAGTCCATTGTACATTTGTATGTTGTACATTTTCTTTCCTAGCCCAGAAGAGCGGTTCTTGTGGTATTGTGGGGTAGAGCAGGAAGGGGGACCCAAGCTCTACTGTTTTGCCTTGACACATGCTGGTTGAGCAAATTTTGCATATGCCAAGATCTTCACGGGTAAGGGAAACTCTCCACTTCTCAGTAGCCCACCAGGAAGAGGAGGAAGAACACTGGCTCTTCTCACCTCAGTGCAAACAAGTAACTAAGCCCAGGACTCTTGAGAACAGAGAGATGCGATTCAGAGGTTCTTCTTGAGTATGTACCAACTCCCAAGAAATTTCATCATTACCTTCTGCAAACTTGTACTAATAAATATTTTTTTAAAAGCTTGTTCTTGGACAGCTCCAAAGAATGCCAATAAATATAGCATGCTCAGGACATGTCAATTTCAGGGTCAAGATTTTCCCATTACCATTCTGATTATTACTTTATTTTCTGAAGGTACATATGGATTATCAGCCTATTCCACAAAGAAAACAAATAGAAAAATCCTACTTTTTTCCCTGCAGGGCTATAGGATGGAACATCAAAGAATCGTGAGTTGTATCTCCCTGCATCACACCTTGCACACAACTTCAGCCTTTTCTCCCAGTGAACACCAAACTCTCCTTTCAGAAGACACCTTAACTTTCACCAGAGCAAGAGACAGCAGCCTCTGGCCTTACTGAGTGTGGATCCAAGTCCACGTGTTCTCCTCTAGCACCATTCATCTGCTTGCCTCTGAGAAACTCAGACCATCAGTGCTGTTCCAAGCTAGGGGTTGTCCAGACTCTGCTTGTCTTTATAAAAGTATAAACCAGGCCTATTTCTGAAGTATTCCAGTCAAGACTTCTGAGCCCTTTTGAGAGGGGGAAAAAAGCTTCTCCTGAGTGAATGTGGGAAAGTGCTATTGGTGCAGCAAAGAACATTGTGTCCTTCACTCAGAAAATTCAACACGAGCCTGCCCTGGCATATGTGAGGTACACATTTCAAGAGCACCCAAAGAAGAATTTGTAGGATAAGCTTCTTGTCAATAGTCCAGAAACTAAGTAGTAAGTGCACTGCCCTGAGATTTTCAAGCAGGAAGAAGTTGGGTGCTTTGGAAAACTAGGACCTCACATTGCTTTGAAACTACTGAGGAAGAACTTAGCAGTAAATTTGTATGTTTTAAAAAAAAAACCTATGAACTTGCACCAGTGCACACCATCGAAACTCTATCCGCATTCACTCCTCTAAAATGAACTGTATTAGATGTAAACTCTGTTGAGGACACTATAACCCCATTATTCGATCTGAAATATTTCAGGTGTTCATTAAATATTTGAGAAAAGAGAGAGGGCAGCATAAGAGGAAGACAGCCAGCCAAAATAAGCAATGAGTTCAGCATAATGAGAGAATACTGCATAAGAAGGCTCCTGGTCTTCCTTACACTTACTTTTGCCATTTACTACATTCAAGCAAGTGATTTAATTTCTTTTAACAGGAAAAAGGTCATGATGATATTAACCAACAAAGCCTGAACCAGAGATGAGGCCATTTAATGAAAAAAGCATTAGGGACCAAGAGCCAGAACTTATTTCCATTTCCCTACTGTAACTTTCAGGGTAACGTTGGGTGAATTACTTCATCTTCCTTAACCTCATCTGTAAAACAATATATTGGGTTAGACTAGATCTCCTATAACTTTTCTTTCAACTATAATATTTTTTATGATACAAAAATTACTTGGAGAACTTTCTAGTGTTGAAACATATGATTTCTATGCCTGTCCCTATAATTCCCTTATTTAAAGATGATAATTACTAATTTAAAGATGATAATTACTGAGAAGTATTACTCAAATCCAAGAATTTTTATTGTCATGGTTATAAGGAAGTTACAATGTAAAATATAATGTCATACCATAATATCATCAGCATTTGACCATAATGCCAATTTTCACTCAACTATCCCATTTATTAGGAATTACATGATGTCTTTTGTTCAACGAAGTATTACATTTAGAGTATGAAGGATACTTTATACTTGTGAGTATGAAAAATGACTGAATTTGAATTGTTCCACACATTCACTTTGCAAAACCTACAAGGTCATTAAGGAGCACAAGTTTAGTTACATGTGACCTACATCATTGGCATTAGTAGGGGCAAAAAATATGACTAACTTCAAATTACTTATAAGAAAACAAATTTAAAATCCACCAGTAGCTATTGTAAACTTATGGTTGCAGAATCTGTGGATACAGGGTGAGGGAAGGCATAAAGAACTTCTGGGTGGGGAGTGAGGGAGACAAATAGACCAAATCACCCTCAGAAATAAAAACCACATTAAGTATCAAAATAAGAACACAAGTCGGTATTTGGTGATTCACAGCACAGGCACATGGAAGGGTCTCAAAAGTAAGAAAACTACAACTGGCAGCCTTTCAGAAGTGTCATTTCCATAAGTGAAGAACAAACTGAAAATGGGTTTTGTTCCTCAGAGACATCGCAGTAAAAGAAAAGGAGGAGAGAAAGAAATTAAAGATTCAGTAGACATGAAAAAAATAAAGCACAAGACAGGTTTATCCTTTGCTTCAACCTACCCCTCTCATCACACCATCATCCATTTAAAAAGCTGAATACACAAACTGACAGGAAAGGCTGTTCTTAAAATAGTATCACAGCCCATGAAATGCTAAGGATAGGGGGAAAATTAAACCTCATGTAAAATTTCTGTAGAAAGAGGGCTGGGGGTTTAGCTCAGTGGTTCCAGCACCTGCCTCGTAAGTGCAAGGACCTGAGTTTGGTCCCCAGTACCAAAAAAAAAAAAATTTCTGTAGAAAGAAAACATGAAAATGGATATACAAACACTTCAGCTAATAAAAATTTTCATCAAATTAGCCATCTATGGAAATAAATATGAATCAAATACCCTCAACAAACATTTGGAGATATACATGCACAAAGACAGGCACATAAGCACACACAGATAGAATCAGGAATCAGAAATTTTAAAACTAAGAAATATACCCCAAATATCCCACTCCAGGGGCTGGAGATGTACCTCAGTGGTAAAGCACTTGCCTAGGATATGCCAGGCCCTAGTTTGATCTCTCTCTCTCCCTCTCTCTCTCCCTCTCTCCCTCCCTCCCTCCCTCCCTCTGAACACATTCAGAGAAAGTAGTAAAAAATAAATTACAAACTGTGAAAAAGAGAATAGATTTAAATGAAAATTTAATAAGCAAAATTGAAGAAAGGCTGGGAAACATCTAAAAGAACAAAAACCACAGAAATTAAAAGGATTAGAAAGAAAATGGTTAAGAGAACATATAAAAGACACATAAAAAAAATCAGACTTAGTAAAACAATTTAGAAAAGAGGAGAGAATCTCTCTACCCAGCATCAGGATTTATTATTTGCTACTATAATGAAAATTGTTAGTGTTTACACAAAATTTCCAACTTATTTTTGACAAATCAGTGAACG